CGACGGAAGTTAAACCCAACGAAGCGAAAGGGTCGATTGATATCGACAGCACCAGATTCGGCCATGTTGTTCTGTTCAGTCGACATAGCAGCAGCCAAGCGTCTTAAAATTTTTAGGAACGGAACAACAAAAAGAACGAGGTTACCGAATCTGGAGCTGAGCCGCGGACTAGGTCGCTCTCTTTAAGACGTTCGCGGCACTGCCTTCGATGCGCACGGCAGACTATCAACCAGTCGTCTCCAGGATAAAACAGCTCCTCTCAATACTCGCGGTTTTGTGCGAAAACCGAAGCTCTCTAAACACTCTCTCTATTGTGTTTATGCTCGTTGTGATGTGTTTAGAGGGGCTGGGGAGGCGGCTATTTATAGGAGCCGAACCCCTGGAATATACCCTCTTGATTGGGGAATAAGTCGGATTAATCAAGGAAGATAATTACTTCCTTAATTAAAACCATCGGTTAAGATAAACCCGGAGGGAATATCCTTCGAATATTCCTTTTCAGTCGATTATCCCTTAGAATATTCCTCAGAATAACCGATTAATAATTAATTACGTTCGGAATTTCTATAAAAAATATATATGTAGTCTCAAGTGAACCAACCAACCAACCGACTTACCGGTCGGACGGACGGCGCGCGCGCGTGTGTGGTGGTCCGTTAGGTCCACCCTCTCCCACAAAAGTGGGTCACCCCAAGGGGCATGCCCTTGGGAGAGAGGCTCCTATCTTTATACCCATTTCACCAAGTAAAAGTGTAAAACTACCAATGTGGTAGTTTTTCCACTTGAGACTCTATAGCTTTCAAAGCTATTCATATACATTTCCAACAGACACTTCTTATCCAGACCCGAGTTTCTTGATCTTATATGACACTACTATGGGTCTGATCTCACCCAGATCCATTTAATTTAAGTACCAGACAGGGATGCAGTTTTAATGTCCTTTTTCTATATTTAAAAAAGTAAAGCAAAAGAAATTTGAGTTTAGGATAGAAATGAACCTAGGTCAGAAGAAAAAAACATAAAGGATGCTAAGTAAATTGAAAGTTAGGATTTCTACTAATCAATGATACTGATTAAATGGCAAACGTTACATATTTACAATCATACTAACCTAATTGATTGGATGTTAATATTTAATCCCTCCAATTTTCAACTCATGCAAACTACTCCTAATACGTATGATAATATGGATTTTTTCTCAAAATACTTTACTTGCTAAAAACATTTTCCGCAATACAACACTCGCACTAAAATATCTCAAAATACTAGGCTTGGCATGGTTTGCTTGAGAGGCCAGCGACCAAAAATGTGTAACGCGGCCGGAGCAACAATAAAAGGATTTTTTCTAGAAGTACCACTAAAAAGAAAAAAAATCCAAAAATAACATCCATGTAAGAAAAATTCCAAAAATACCAACCTTTCTCGAAAACCTCTAGGAGCACGGTTTTTTATGAAACCACATGGGTAGGGGGCGATTTTACAGACCGCATTGGGACGGTCCCCCCCCCCCCCCCCCCCCCCCCCGGTTTGCTATATTTGTTTTTTCGCATAAATACCATCATCCCGTATTACATTTTTTTTATTTAGTACAGATAAAATTAAGAAGCATGTTGTGGTGGTTCGAACCAAATAATAAAAAATTAACTAAATTCAGCACAACATTAGGAATGCCAATTTCGACTCGACCCGTTTTACCCGACCTGTTTGGCCTGTTTTGGGGCGGGGCGGCCATGGGTACCTCTCATCGACCCGACTTGTCCTGACCTGCCACATTCTTAATCCGTTCTTGCCTAAATTACTTGTAATCTTAGTCAAATTACTTATAATTTTCCTCTTATTACCTCATATTTTAGCCATAATAAAGTTATAAATAAGTGAAAACCTCAATTTCTCCAATAATTTAACTACATTTTATCATATTATGGTTTCTTTCTTAGTCTTTTACTGAAAATAACGTACATTTCTAATGTTTTCACATAAATTACATACCCATTGGGCCGACCTGCCCCGACCCGCGCCCCATGATAAATTACCCGACCTGCCACGAGGAGTGTATGGGTATCGAGATACCCGCCGCGGACATTCCCCATTAGCCATTCCTACAGAATACACCACCAGACTACAACTCTTTCGTTGAAACAATTTTGCACAAGTACATATTGACAAAGCTTTACTTCTTGAACGGTAAAAATCCTCAATAACTTTGGACGACCATAACTTTGTGCTTCAAAATCCAAATGTCATGAAATTATATTTGATTCCGCATAAATTTTCAAGTACTACAACTTTTATCATAGAAATAATTTTGGAATATGTGGACTTGAGAAAAGGGAAGGTAAAGTTATTCCCAAAATCCCGTATATCCAAAAATAATCCATTTTTGAAAATTTCTTCCTAATAAAAGTTGTAGTCCTTGAAAAGTTACGCAAAATAAAAAAAAATTCATGACGTTCGGATTCCGGAGCACAAAGTTATGGACGGTCAAAGTTTGGCAAAATGGGAAAAAAGCCCGTTCAAGAGCAAACGACGTTTTTCGAGACGAAGGCAGTACCAAACAGGCTACATCTGTTTGCGACTTGCTAGATCTCGAAAAGTTATGCAGAATAAAAAAAATCACTACAATCGGATACCGGAGCACAAAGATACGTTCGTTTGAAGTTTACACCTAGGTTATGAATAATCGGAATAAAAAAGGACAAAATCGCTGGGTGGGACAGCGGTTTTGTGCCAAACCGCCCCTACCCGGTGCAGTCACCAAAACCGCTCCCTACACAAGCAGTTATGGTCGAAAACCACGCCTCACCCAGCGATTTTCGAGTAAATCGGGGGGTGAGGTGGCGGTTTTCGAGAAAGGGTGGTATTTTTGGAATTTTCGGGGTTGGGTGGTATTTTTATAATTTTTTTAAACAGTGATTTTTCTGAAAAAAAGTCCACACTCAAAGTGGTTCGATATATGCAGAGAGAAGTAAACAGTTAAGTGGTTCACGCCAAAAAGCAATGATCAAGTTTGTATGTTGCCAAGCAAGGCAAACACATTTTGATCGCTGGAGAAGGCATCGAATTGGTAGAATTGATCGTTAGCCTACGTCATCATCCAGTAGATCGCTTTAATCAGCTGTAATTAATGCCTAGACTCTAATAACAAACTTAATCCTATTGAACTTCAAAATGGCTGATAATGAACTTAAAAATTAATTTCAATGTTCATTAGAAAACATTCAAACACTTAACATATTCATTACAACGTAAACACATAAACATCAACTGTCATCACCACCAACTCCACTTGTGGTTTAACATGTCCTGAGAATTTGCGTTTGTCATGCCCTTGAACTCTCAATGTGTAGCACCACTTCCGATCTCATAGTGGTCGCACTAATCTATCCATCTTATTAAGAATTATGTGCATTACATTATTAAAAAAAGAACTAGGTGTAGTTGTGCACTAGGTCGAACTTTGGTGTGCTTCTTATGTTTATGAGTGAATACCTCTAAACCCTGTTACTCGGGTCAGTAAGCTTTATGTGCTAAAGGATTCAACGAGTGATCCCAGTCTTTATGAGTGAATGAGTCTTGTATTATGGACTAACGAATCAAAGTGGGCCCATGTGAACGCATTTGGCTACGACATAGGAATGTCTCCATGAAATTTATCGTAAGTGCATTTCCCTCTTCCACCCGGAGTATGAAATGTGATCGTTTAAGCATTACCTCAACCTGTGGTGTTACGGGAACTCTCAGTTACTATTGAAAATATGCCATTTTGTCGTTTGAACGCAATCATCTTATGCAATTTGACCATTTTCTTCTATGGCTTCATGTCATCGATGATCTTTCTCGGGATCATGTATCCATTGTCAAAAATCTTAATGGTTGCTTGCTATTAGCATTGTATAGAGACCAATATACAAAACATTAAGCCTCTCACCCATGTTCGTCGTTGTGATGTCATACTTGTACCCTCCATCTTGATGTAATGTCCACTTCTCAAAATCATGTTTTCTAGCCAATATGCACCTTCAGGATGGGCAGATCTTATATTCCTCATCTTTTCATTTAACTTTAAGGGTTGGAATGCAATAGTTGCAACAATTTCAATACAAAATAACACAAGGGTTAGAGAAGGGGCAACTAATACAAGAAAAACCTTAAATTGTACTCACTGGCCCTCCAAGCAGTCTGTTGGTACTTGGTAGTTGCTCTTGAAACGTCATATGCATCATCGCCACTTCCACCCAAGCTCCTTGGAAAACGTACATTTCATGTACAATATCACCGTGATTCAACTAATGCATATGCAAGATGGAAAATTTGCTTGTTGCTATCGACACTCGTGGTAATTAGAAGGATGTCCTTGTATTTTTCGGTGAGAAATGTGTCATCCACTTTGATTATGAAAAGACAATGGCTAAAACCATCAATGGTTTATATGCTCAAAATAGGAGATCAAACACTCTCTACCCCGCATAATCATTGTATTTGGGCAAGAAAATTTACCCAAGATTATCATCCAATATTGCCATGTTTAATGGGTAAATGTCATGCCATGCTTCTACCTAATGTCATCCCAGGTTCTGCCTCAACCAAGTCCTTTATGGTTTGTGCCACTTTCATTCCATTTAGTTGGCGATGATCTTGAGAAATATATGTTTGACAACATGCATGTGTGGATGCTATGTGCCTTGTCAATGAGCCAAGCCTCGTGCATTTTCATATGCAGTCTCAACGTCGATCTCCTAGTGCATTGTTGTGACGTCTTTCATGGTGATGTTTTACTTCAACATATGTCTTGTTAACATATGTTGAAATATCAATTCTGTTGGCATTGACCTTGGACTTGGACGACAAGAGATTTGATAAGAATGAATTGAGTGGAGAATACAAGAAATAAAGAAGAACTAGATGGAAGAATAGCATAAGAAGATATAGTTAGGTTGTCTATGGGAGGAGACAAAAGTGAGGAAAAGAAAATATGCAAGGAAGAGATTTTGGTAAATATCCTAGGGATTGAACACAACTCTAGCGAAAAGAACAACCTGAGACTTACTCTCCACGATCATAAACACGAAGGGATGATCTGCTATTAACTCCTCCTTGGGGGGAGAATAAGGGCTAGCTCTGCACCTTGGGTCAAACGCCGACACAACAGCAGCTTCCGTACCATCCTCGTCCACAGCAATGCAAGCTCTCTAAATCACCTTGGAAACATACAACAACTCCCCACCTTCCTGGAGCATCTCGGCAAAGTCCCCCGTCATCTTAAACGGCAGAGTCAAACCCAGCTTCTCCATCGTCTCCCTGGGCTGGAACTTCCGGGCGAACTTCCACTTGGGAACCGAACCTTTTCAGCCTCACTTCCTCAAGCCCGCCAAGTGTTTGTGATAATGCCTCAGAGCCGCGGAATAGAGGCTGGTCCAACATCTCTGACAACCCATCTGCCTTGTGCGGGAGGAAAAAGTACATGGAGAAAAGAGGGGATCCCTTGCTTTCCCATGACTGATATATGAGCTTCAAGACCTTGAACTCGTCAAAGTATGCATAATCGTATATACGTTCCCACGTTCTCATGAAGGGCACGGTGATGGTGGTGGTCCCATCGAGCAGGTAGAAGTCGTCGTTGCTGGTGCAGCATGGCAAGAACCGGCCAATCCAAAGTTCTTTGAAGTAGAGTGCGTTTGTGAGTACTAAGGTTGTGTTGCTTTAAATATCTTGAGCGCTCAACACGTTGTTTATGCGCCCATCGGTTGATTTTGCAGCCCATGCGTTGATTTCTTTCACCGCTTCCCCTGGCTGCACATTACAGTTAACATAATTAACCATTCCACATCTGCATGCCATTGATGGTTGCTTCTTTGAGATTGAGATTCTCAATTGAATTACAAGACTTAAATCCATAAGTGCAATACAAAACTAAGATCTATTTACATTATGAACAGAGAGCAGAAAGTCATATATCAAGTACTTGGGATTGAAAATCGACAGTGTTGGACTCGGCCTGATAAATGTCGGCAAGGAGCTTCCAAAACGATGCCTTGACAGTGAAGCGGCAATCGACCCAGATGCCGTTACCGCAGGATACGATTGTTGCGATATCAAACTAGCTGAAGCTAGGGTAAGCGGAAGGAGACGACGGCACAAGACTGGGGAAATGCGCAAGGAGCAAGGGATCTCCTGCATTTTCTATTTATACCAAAACCAGAAATGTGTTCTTCACGATACAGTAAAAACTGAAATACAAAACTAAAATTAAAAAATGCTTAATGGTAAAACAGCACATGTCCATCTCTCGTTTGCCATGGTAAAGTCCACCCAACGGTAAAACTTAGAAGCTCCACTACGACGCCGCTTTGCTTCTTCGTTCACGTCGAGTGGAGGGAACCCAAAAACGAAACGTTTCTGGGTGAGGTTTCTTCTTTCTTGACTCTGCACTTGTTTTTCATTTTTGAAATGCTTCTTCTTTGTCGAACTCACTTGATACTCCCCCACAAGCTAGCGAGTAGGCATTGCATACACCCAGCTTGTCCAATAGAAACTTGAGTCTGTAACGAGTCATTCCCTTTGTAAATAAATCTGCAACTTGGTCATCAGTTCTCACATGGAAGAACTTAATCAGACCTGATTTCAACCTTTCCCTCGTAACGTGACAATCAGTCTCAATATGCTTCGTTCTCTAGTGAAAAACCGGATTTTCGGCAATGTGCATATAAGATTTGTTATCGCAAAACAATGGTATTGGAAGAGGTACCTTGATTCCCATTTCTGTAAGGAGATTTCTTAACCATTGAACCTCGCAAACCACTTGAGCTAGAGCCCTGTACTCTGCTTCTGAAGATGACCTGGAGACTGTAATCTGCTTCTTTGTCTTCTAGGTGATCAATGAAGTTCCCAGAAAAGTGCAGTAGCTAGTGAGGGATCTTCTGGAATCTGGACAGCTGGTCCAGTCAGCATCACAATAGCTTGAGAGTTCCAGTTTAGAGTCTGCCCTGAACAACAACCCTTGTCCAATAGTATGTTTCAAATACTTGATCACCCTGTGTGCTGCTTGAAGATGTTCTACACAAGGAGCAACCTGAAATTGTGCAAGCTGTTGTATAGAATATGCCACATCTGGCCTGGTTATAGTAAGGTAATGCAGTCTTCCTATCATTCTTCTATAGACACCAGGGTCTGCCGTCAACTCTCCTTGATTAGCTGACAACTTAACATTGCAATCAACAAGAGATAAACAGCCTTTTGCTTCCACAAAACCTGTATCATCAAGTAGTTCCAAGCAATACTTTCTTAGATTGACTGAGATGCCTTTGTGATCTCTGATTACTTACAGTCCTAGAAAGTCACTCATCTGACCAAGGTCTTTAACCTTGAATTCCTTACTTAGGAATTTCTTCAACTGTTCTATGTCTCCCAGATAGCTACCAGCAATTAGGATTTCATCTACATAGACAAGAACCACCACAACTCTTCCCTGAATCCACCTTACAAACATGGAATAGTCAGAAGCTGTTTGAGAGTAACCATTCTTCAACAAGGCAATGGTAAGCTTTGCAAACCACTGTCTGCTGCCTTGCTTTAAACCGTAAAGTGATTTGTTTAGCTTGAAAACAAGGCCTGAGTCCTTAGGTAGATCAACAACAGGAGGTACCTCTAGGTAGACTTCTTCATCTAAGTCTCCATGGAAGAATGCATTGGACACATCCATCTGGTGAATGTGCCAATCCTTAGATGCTGCAACTGCCAAGAGGGTTTTAATAGAATTAATCTTTGCTACTGGTGAATAAGTGTCTAAGAAGTCTATCCCATAAATATGGGAATTACCCTTTAGCTACCAGACGTGCCTTGAACCTCTCAATTGTTCCATCTACCCTGTACTTCACTTTAAACACCAACTTTGCACCAATTGGTCTTTTACCTAGAGGCAGCTTTACCAATTCCCATGTCTGATTTTCATACAATGCATAAATTTCTTCTTTACAAGCCTGATTCCATCCTGAATCCTTGCAAGCCTTAGCATAAGAAGTAGGCTCTTGTATGGATAAGACACTTAGTGCAAAAGCCTTCTGAGTTGCAGTAAGATGATCATAGCTAACCTGATGGGAAATGTGATATTTGGATGTGGAAGCAGCCATGCTCACATGATAATCTTTGTGCCAAATAGGTTTTGTATGAATCCTCTTAGACTTTCGCAAGTATTCATCTTCATCTGTGTCATTGAGCTCAGAAAACACCTCAATTTCATTATCCTGACCCTCAGACTGCAAACTGAAAGGAGATACTTCATCAGGAACAACAAGCAGTGCAGGAGATGAGATAGAAGAAGAGGGAGAAGAAGAAGATGATGAAGGGGAACTGGAAAAGTTGGCAGGCTGAAGAGTGGTAAGAGGTGTAGAAGAAGGAAGTGTATTTGTTTGTGTAGGTACTGGAGAAGTTGGTGGTATAGGAGGAAAAGTTGGAATGATGGGTTTTGGTGGTAGGAACTGAGTAGCTTCAGTAGAAGAAGAAGTTTCAAAGGAAGAATTGATTCATAAAACATCTCATCTCTGGAAACAAGGAAAGAGTGTGAGTTGATGTCAAAGAGTTTGAACCCTTTAATACCGGCTGGGAAACCAAGAAAGAGACACTGCCTGGCCCTGGAATCAAATTTTGTTTTGTCTCGATGTAGAGTTGCAGCATAGCATAAGGATCCAAAAACTCTCAAATTACTGAGATTGGGAGCTTTGTTATACAAACGTTCATATGGGGATTTGTTGCCCACTATTGAACTAGGCAACCTGTTTATCAAGTAAAGAGCATGGAGAATACAGTCACTCCAGAACTTAAGAGGAATTCCATATTGGAATCTAAGTGACCTTGCTACATTTAAGATATGTTGATGCTTGCGTTCTACGCGAACATTTTGTTCTGGAGTTTCCACACAGGACTGTTGATGTTCAATTCCATGACTGCTATAAAAGTCCACCATGTGGAATTCAGCACCCTGGTCACTTCTAATAACTTTAACAATTTTTGAAAACTGTCTTTCTACCATAGAACAAAATGATTGCAATAAGGGACCAGCCTCAGACTTAGACTTCATAAGGAAAACCCACACAGCTCTTGTAAAATCATCCACAACAGTCAAGAAGTAGGAAAAACCTTCATGGGACTTAATAGCCAAAGTCCCCCAGATGTCAACATGAATTAAACAAAAAGCATCTTGTGCTCTACTTGTACTGACAGGAAAAGAAAGCCTCTTGTGTTTGGCAAAATGACAGGTTTGACAATGGGAAACTATCTCTCTATTACAAGGTAAAGTCTGTTTCTCTTTGTCTTTGCTGGGTTGTCCTAGTCTCCAGTGCCAGAGGTGAATGTTTTGAGGTTGGAAGTTGTATGTAAGGGCAACTTGTGGGGGTAATCAAAAGTGGTGCTTTGTCCTTGGTGTCCAGTTGGTACAACCTTTTACTCTGTCTTGCCAAACCAGTCCTTCTCTGAGTCACCAGGTCCTGGATTTGACAAGAATCAGACTCAAAGTGTAAAGATATAGGCTGATCATGAGTCTCCTTGCTAACAGATATAAGATTGAAATTGAAACTTGGCACATGGAGAACATTATCTAAGGCTAGGTCAGGGTAAATCTGGAACTTTCCTATATGACTAACAACCACTTTAGTCCCATTTGGTAAGTAAACAAACTGATCCTTAATTGGTAGAGCTTCGGAAAACAAATCAAGATTGCAGGCTATGTGATCTGAAGCCCCAGTGCCCAAAATCCAAGTGTGAGCTAGAGAAGCTGCTTTATGGTTCATAAAAGAAGATAAGATGAACTTACCAACATGATTTGGGAACTGAGAAATGATGTGAGCAATAGAGAAAGCCAAGTGATTAACTGAAGGTGAAGCTGGAGGTGAAGGACTAGGAGAGGGAACAAATTGTAGCTGGTATCTCAGCTTGTTTAGTTCCTCGGGTGAGAAACTCAAATGTTCCTTTGAAGAGTTGCTTCTGGACTCTAAGCTGATCTTAGAATCTGAACTTGCAGTGTCACTATCAACAGATGATTCTCCTTGAGATACAGCAACCGCACCTCCCCCAGCCATTCTATGTTTTTTGTTCTTTAACTTCCAGCATTCCTCCTTAGTATGATTCTCCTTCTTACAATATCGACAGAACTTTTTCCATCTTGACCATCTCCTTGAACTGCCAGGGTAACAGTTTGAACTCCTCTGGTAATACTCTTTCAGCCTTTAGTTTTTGCTCATGTTGTAACACATCATTAATGGCTACCTCCACTGTAGGAAGAGGCTTCATCATCAAAATCCGAGTATGAACCACATCAAATTCTGGCCTAAGACCCTTGAAGAATCGGATAAGATAGTCAACGTTTTGTTTCTTCTTAAATGCCTCAACTGCAGCACATGGTTCCTTTGAGGAGCACAATTGCAGTCAACAATAGGGTTGAATTGTAGGTATTCTTCCCATAAACCCTTCTGAGCATTATAGTATTGGGTAACATTCAGATTTTCCTGTTTGCAAGCAATGATCTGGTCTCCCAGATTTGATAACTTAATAGCATTTGCATACCCAAAACGAGCTTTGAGTTCTTCTCACAGAGTGTGAGCTACATCATGTTGCATTACACTTCTTCTAATCTCCTTGTCAACAGAATTCAGGATCCAACACAGAACTAATGTATTGCAAGCATCCCATGTACTTTAATTAGGACTACCTACACCTGGAGACGGAATCGGTCCATCTATGAAACCAATCTTATGTTTGGTTTTCAGAGCCATTCTCATGGCTCGCTGCCACATCTGGTAATTAGATCCATCAAGAGCTTCTGAAACGATACCTTAAGAAATGTTTTTGTTTGGGTTAATGTAGAATGGATTACCGAATTGTAGATCTGGGCGATCATTGTTGTTGTTGTTGTTGTTGTTAGAGCCACTCGTAGTTCCTGAGTTCATCCTTGTGTAGGTGTCGAAGGGGATAGCTCCAGGAGGTGTGTTTGGTGGCGTATAATTGTTTGGTAGTGTCGTCGCCATTGAAGGTTACTGGATCAGTAACCAGGCTCTGATACTATATCAAACTAGCTAAAGCTAGATTAAGAGGAAGAAGGCGACGGTACAAGATTTGGGAAATGCGCAAGGAACAAGGGATCTCCTGCGTTTTTCTATTTATACCAAAGCCAGAAATGTGTTCCTCAT